CTGTTCGGCTATTGCGTACTGAATAACTCGACTATATCCCAATCACGACAACCCCAAACTGCCGTCCAAAACAAACGTTTCCAAAATGAAGACGACCAACCAGGAGTTATATACTGGTATCTCACAAACGAGTGGGCTTCCAAGAAAGACATTTTGGATGCAATCGCAGGAAGTGCAGTGGGAAGCACGGTGCAAGTAACCGGATGGGCAAACAAATTTTACCATAAGACTGACAGTGATAACAAGTTTCACCTAGGCGATAGCGACTGCGCCCAGGTCGTACAAGACGTATATACAAATAGTAGATTAAATAGAAAGTCTGGTAGTCACTTGGTGGATTCTTGACGGGCTGCTTAGAAAATCCTAATGGCCAGTCAACTTGCCATACAGTGCAGTATGTTGGGCAGATAACACAACCTAAGTATGATTAAATTCATAGCCTCTGTAGGTCATCGCACCTCAGAGGGTTGGCGTGTTTATGGTACCCAAACGATAACTTAACAATTGGGTGAAATGAAGCATTGAAATATATTAGAACACCAAGTGATGGTATTTGCCGGTGAACTGCCATGAGGTTTCTTCTGGCCTCTACCACTGACCAGTCTAATTATCAGTCTTATCAATATTTACTGTCAGTGATTGGGCTGAGACCGTCTACCCGTTGTGTTATAGACGTTTTGGATTTGTGGCAGTAATTGACTGAGTATACGTTTTAAAAACGTTTGCTATCACGGTAGTCGCTCTCTTTTGTTGTAACAAATGGGTTCGATAGGCAGAAGTTGAAAGTTTATGTCAGATTGGATATCTGATAACCTACTTAGTTCCCCAATGTTAGGCTGTGAGCTTTAATTGCTCAGTTATGCATCCGAATTTTACAAAACGTATGTTAATATATGAATATTAGATTAATTAGAGTGAGCCTGGTTGTTGTCTGCAGGATTTATTACTAAGGAAATCCTGCTCGGCGTTCAATTCACCATATCCGAATTAGCGCATGCTTTGCGGTAGGTTGGGCGGATAATTTGACCCAAATAAAATTTACGGCTACTGGTTGGGATCTAGCAGCTCAAGTGCTTAGAGCGTAGGCTGTACTCAGATTTTACGCTTTCTGATGTGGTTTCGAACCTCACCGAAGCCACAAAATATCTCATAAGTAGGTCAAAAAGAATATTCGATTACTAAAAGTTACGTATTGCGGCAAATAAAAGTGCCTTACGAAGCAGCTATTAGGGACCGTTATCTGAAAATATAAAAAAGAGACCTCAGGAAAATCGTCAAACGCAATAATACAGTTTATGCTACAACGTCAACAGGAACCGAGACGTCTCGTAACTCTTTCAAGATGGTGCAAGTGGTACTGGATGCTAGAAAGTTCGAATATTATTTGATTCTGCTATCTTAAGTCTGGCGTAGATTCCAGGCCTACAGAAGTTCTCTGATATATACGGTTTGGACGATAACCCTCACACAGTACATGAACCATACGCCTATATTCGCACAGGCGGGAGTTCCGAAATGGAAATCTGAGAAGTCGAAGTAGATCACCGGAACCGTTTTTGGTTCACGCTGACATT